ACAGTATCATAAACTATAACCTCCACCTTTCTCCCATTTTATTACTTACTGTTTTTCTTCCTGCCTGTCAACTCTGGCACTGACATATTACACATGCCTAACCTGAACAATAATAGAAAGGATTAAATAAATATATAAATAAAAAGGAAAAGACAAACAAGAGGAGCCTATACAGAGTTCTGAAAATGCAAATACGTTTGACATAATGGCACATTCAGATCCTGTTTCTGAGTGCAAGTACTGCCAGACATGACAGGCCTTTACAAAAATACTATAACCTCCACAATTGCAACAAAATGCCATCTAAATAAATTGAACATTATTTTCTCCATTCAGCTAGGGCTGCTGAATGGCTGTATTAGATTAGTTTTAGTGGGATGCTAATAAATTGGCAACTGAGTGCACATAATTGAATACTTCCAGCACTTAATAAGGCTGATGTGACTTGGTTCTCCAGTCTAAAATTAAACTTGTAGGGCATCATTTCTGACTGTCCTCTACATCCTGGAGAAGGCTTGTATCCTGCATTCAGTGTTGCATTTTTTTTTTTTAAACAGCCATGCATATTCAAATTAAATAACCACCAGCAGACACTTGACTTTCCTGAACTGAGAGCATCTTACTCATTACAGTAACCAAAGCAAGCAAAAAGGAAACAGAGTCAAACACTGAGCAGCTTTTTGTCTTGTGGAAACACTTGAACTGAAGCAAAGACATTGTGCCTGAAGACATAGAGAGGAAATCTCACATGACACACTCACCAACACAGAGGATGTTGAAGCAAAATCCGTGGTTGACAGACTTGTTGACCAGCTGGTCAGGCATGCTGTCAAAGCCGACATGGCCCGATAGAGGGACAGCACGAGCTCCTTCACCCTAAAAACAAAAGACATAAAGCAACAAGTCAGTGCCTTTCGATCACTAAACGCCTTCCACGTCTGTAAGCACGTGCAGGATTCCTTCTAACGTGCTGAAATATGCATCGTAACGACAGCTGTCCTGTGTAAATAAAACCGTACCATGCCTTCGACCATTTTTTGATCACGTTAGTCTTTGACAATGAGTTCAGGTGCAGTGCTAACTCACTTCCTGCTTCCTGAGCTGTGACTTTCTTCCACAGACGAGACAGTTAGAAACCACAATGTACATATATGGAAAGGTACTGCTGTTTGTGTCAAGACAGAGCGTTTAGAAAAATTTGGGGAAAAAAAGCTTACTGTTTAAAAATTAAAAAAAGAAAAGAAAAACGGATAAAAGCATTAGCATTACTGGCACTGAGTTTTTTGGGTTTTTTTTAAAACTTCCTCTTCTGAGCCTATTTCACTTCCATTCACTCTATCACACTGTTTATAGACAACCTGTATCTGGACCACTAAACACAACAAGTGTAAAAACACTGTTGTTACATATGTGTGTGGGTGTGTGGCTGCTGGTAAGCATCTCCATCAGTGTGAACCTCCTTTCTGCAGCCTACGTTTTGCAGGAAAACAAAAAATGTAGATTATATGGCAAAAGAAAGAATATCTCAACCATCTCAACCTCAGACAACCAGCTATTATGTGGCTTAACATAACACACTGTTGCAGTCCAATGTGGTGAAGATTTCTGGGAGGAAAAACACTGTTTTAGACTCAATTTAAAATAACTGAGCAAGCTGAGGGCACTAAACAGTTGTGGATTATTTGGATGGCTGAAATTGGGTTTAAACAGCTGAGGGAGTGTTTGGAAAACTGGACAACCAGCCCTATACTCTTCAGCTGCAAGTGCAACATTCCTGAGACCATTCCCGCTTTTCATGACACTCACAGCCAAGTTACACACAGTGAGCGGGTTTCCATTGACTAGATATGGATATCAAACTGTAAAACCTTGCTATTCTCAGCCCTCCCTCTGGGTTACGCGGCTTCTTTCCAAGCCCCCTCCCAAAAAAGGCAAACTTAGACCACGATTTGTGCATTGCACGGCCAAATGTCTACAAGGACCTACGATCTATTTGTCCGTAATATTCATTAAGACAACGCCCGGAAAACAAAGTTGACGGGTCTTGCATAAAACAACATAACGGAAATGAGCATCGTAGCCGTGCCGAAATGGGGGCGTTCAGAATGAATGGCCTACCTATGGCTCTGTAACAGCCTCTCGTTTTTATGTGAGATAATAGATAAGTCGGTTACTTTAAATTTTAAATGTCTTAATCTGTTAATTCCGTTTACAGGGTAATTTAGGTTTTTACCAGTACAGGAAATCTGCAGGCGTTAGCATACCAAAATGAAAATATTCTACCGTTGAGCTTCGACTGTTGAGTGCTGGGCCTTAATTTGATATCTGGTTAAATTTTGTTTTTATACCGTGTTTAGGGACGCATAATCAGATTTCTATTAGCTCTAATTATAATTGATCTAATTAAGCCACGGTACACTGGATTTGGATGGAATAGCCACGAAAAACGGATGGTGGCTGGGTAAATCTGCTTGAAATTATACACTCTTCTGCGAAACGCTTGATCCATAACAAAAATATATAAGATAAATACATGAATTCCAGTGTGAAACAGGCTACTTACCGCTTGCCTTGCTATCTCGGTTGACGCCATAGTAGCTGCTGTTAGCCGGAGGACGAAACCTCTGCTGCTCTGTTTAGCAAAGGAAGCTGCACCGTTACCGTTACACCGAAAGATGGCCTAGCAGGAATGTACCACAAACCAATGCGCTTTTAGATATGATATTTTTAAAAACTGCACCCATATTATGTATTTCTTACTTATCAAATATAAGCTACAGGCATACTCCAAATGATTTATTTAGAATTTTGCTTCGTAAAAATAATAAAGATATAAATAAAACTATTTACTGTACCCCCTCAGGATGTCGCCATGGTTCCGTCTGGTGGTAGAGACGGCGATCTGCAGTCAGTAAACGACACATTCGTGTCAGTTAAGAATAAACGGTAAAACCAACGCGGCAACGACCAGTCAAGGAAACTTTTTAAAGTGTTTATATAACTTCAAAAAATTAAGCACTGTCTCAAACACACTTAGGAGATGTATGTAAGCACGGGAAGTAATGTTTATGGGTTTTACGTGAGAACTAACACGAATTCCAAATAAAGATCAGGGCTGTATTTCCTAAATACGTAATTGATTTAGGGTTATTGTTGTTTTACCATTAATTAATACATGATTATAAATATGTGCCGTGCATGATATAAATATGATAGCAATATTAAAGCATTTCTGTTGGCAGATATTTATTTTTTTAGCGTAACGCCCATTTCAAGTCATGTGTGCTACATCGACCAATGGGAGGTGGACCGTGAATTTAAAAACGATTCGCGGTAGCAGCTGTACAAGTTTTCGTACCAAAACAAGTTTGTGATCTGGGAGCAGCTAGCGGCGACTATCACTGAGGTAATGTTGGTGTTAACGGTCTGTTAAAGCAAATGTTGACTTCATTAGCAGCGACGGTAAGTTTATTAAATGGCGAAGACGCTTTGTCAATGACGTGAGCTAGCGTGCTAGCTAGTTAGCGCACTAAAGCAACATTTTGATTCTGTATCTCCCTTTTGTTTTAAGACTACCTCAAAATCAACCTTTTCTGTTCACCAGAAGTTTTATTCGTTATGGTGGAAGTGTTTTGCTTAACTTTACTAAACTTACTACTACGTGTTGCTGTTTGGCATCCAATAACATCAGTTTGTACTCGTATGTATTTGCATAAACTGGAGACAAGGATTCACTCATTTCCTTAATGAGTTTACCCGTGAACACTACATCTAATGTTAATCGATGCTATATTATTTCTACTTTATCAAACAAATTCTTTTTTTTCCTTTAAAAAAGAAAAGCCGCTAGGAGGCAGCACTCTTTATTTTGATTGGGAAAATGATTTGAGTTTGTTTTTCAATCATATGGTTAAAAGGGTCCGCCCGAGCTATGCAGTTACTTGAAATTTAATGTAAATAACAAATTGTCCCAAAGTGTTTTCTCTTTGTGCTGCTCCCTTTTAAAGACCACCACAACAATCTCAGTATCCCTGTCATGCTCCCCTGTCAAACCAACCCTCTGCAAGTATCCAAACCGTCTCAGCCTTATAACTTTGACTCTATTGTTCCATCTGAACTGTCCCTCTGATATACTCATTTGGTCCTGTCCATCCAGATCACTTCCAGTGGGGGGAAAATAACCCTGACACCTCCTTTGCTAACATCTCCAAACTGTACATCACAGCAGGCCTCACTGTTTTCATTACACTGAGCTAAAATAAATTGACTAGTTTTACCAATTTGTTTTGGTCTTTCCTTTCAGTGCTTTACTTTCCAAATTCATTCTATTTTGCAGACTTTTATTTGTTTTGGTTTGAATTATAATTGCATTAGAAACCATCTGCTGCAACTTGTTGGAAGTTTAGAGGGAGATGAATGAATCTGATGTATGTTGCAGAACCTCAGGGTCACCTCAACTCTAACTAGAAGCTTTAGAAAAAGGATTTACACCTAACTTTTAACAGAGCTGTTGTCAGTTTCCGGACCCCAAAGTAGAAGCTGGTTCAGTACGAGCAGGCTGAAGGCACTGCCTCCCATTCTACTTCTGGAAACTCTAGGAACTGAAATTAAGCCTGCACTCTGGGAGTGAAGTGCATTGTTGAAATATGGTGCTAAGAGGTCTTTAAGGTATGATGAGTAGAAGCATATTATGTTTGCTGCAACAATGCTGTAGCCTGTAATGCTGCCAAACTTGCCATTAGTTCCAGCACTGTATTCATAAAAGGGTACTGAACTTAAAGCAGTTGGCTATTAGGAGTTGATGCTCACCCAACTCTTTACTTGGGGAAAGTCTCATTCACACACATACAAATGCTGATTGTATTCAGTTTAGTACTACATGACAAAAGCAAGAAAAGGGCTAGCCTGTTAAGAGGCACTCTTTGCTGTAATGTATTAAACACTGCTATAGAAATTCTCCCTACATAAAGCTGCAGTAGCCAGTGTCTTCTTGTTTTCAGATGGCCAATATAATCTTTGCAGAGCGGGAAAATGCAGGTCTCCATGCACCTACACAGAAAATGAGGCAGCGGCTTCAGTCTGCTCCAGGTATGAAAATTATGTCTTTGGTCGACTTTCTTTTTTTTCTGCTCTTGAAACACTGATAACGTTTGCATAGGTGCCACGTTAACATTTTTGTCCCTGCATTCAGAGAAACTAGTCAAATCTCCTACAAAACCATTCAGCACCCCCTTGCCATCTGGACGTAAGGCTTTCGGCTGCCTTAACGTAAAAGTCTCGACCCCTGCCATCAGCAAACAAGAGAAGAAACTCCTAAAACAGGTTGGACTATATAATTATTCAAGTATACACTAAATGCTTGGCTGTATTCTGACTTATTTGATTTTTCTCTGCCACAGCCACCAGTTTGCCTTGAGGAAACAAAAGCCAAAAATGCACCTCAAGCCAATGTGGAGTATCCAGAAACTGAGAAGTTGTTCTCTTATGACCCACTAGGTAACTGATGCTATAAGTTGTAATTGTCAAGTTCTGCTTGGTGGTTATTTTAAAAGGGCAAAAACAGTAAGGCAGAATTTGGAAAGTTGTTGCATATTTGACCCGTCAATTTTAAAATGCTGCTGCACTGTAGCACAAGTTTATGCTTTCATTTGAAGCTAATTTGATTTGGTTAAGTAATCGGAAGGTTTGCCTCAAACTTGTGAAATCAAAATATGATTCGGGTGTACTTGAATAAGGCCATGATGTGGCTTTTAAAATGTGTTTTAAAATTATTTTTAATGAAGGTTTTACACTTCTTTTTTCTTTTCTTTTTTTTTTTTTTTCCCCCAAGACCAAAGAAGGAAGCAGTCGACGGAGGCAATTTTAGTAGTGAAAACACAGCATTGTATTCATGAATTGACCACATGTATACAAATGTGGGTGAGACATATACAAGGCTCTAGAGTGCAACCAATTTGGTCGCACATGCGTCCTAATTTCTCAATGGTCCAACTTTAAAAAAAAAAAAAAAAAAGTTGAGTAGCTTAGGCCCAGTAGAAGTGGATGTACAGTGGGGCAAAAAAAGTATTTAGTCAGCCACCGATTGTGCAAGTTCCCCCACTTAAAATGATGACAGAGGTCAGTAATTTGCACCAGAGGTACACTTCAACTGTGAGAGACAGAATGTGGGAAAAAAAAAATCCATGAATCCACATGGTAGGATTTGTAAAGAATTTACTCGTAAATCAGGTTGGAAAATAAGTATTTGGTCAATAACAAAAATACAACTCAATACTTTGTAACCTTTGTTGGCAATAACAGAGGTCAAACGTTTACTATAGGTCTTTACCAGGTTTGCACACACAGTAGCTGGTATTTTGGCCCATTCCTCCATGCAGATCTTCTCGAGAGCAGTGATGTTTTGGGGCTGTCGCCGAGCAACACGGACTTTCAACTCCCGCCACAGATTTTCTATGGGGTTGAGGTCTGGAGACTGGCTAGGCCACTCCAGGACTTTCAAATGCTTCTTACGGAGCCACTCCTTTGTTGCCCGGGCGGTGTGTTTTGGATCATTGTCATGTTGGAAGACCCAGCCTCGTTTCATCTTCAAAGTTCTCACTGATGGAAGGAGGTTTTGGCTCAAAATCTCACGATACATGGCCCCATTCATTCTGTCCTTAACACGGATCAGTCGTCCTGTCCCCTTGGCAGAAAAACAGCCCCATAGCATGATGTTTCCACCCCCATGCTTCACAGTAGGTATGGTGTTCTTGGGATGCAACTCAGTATTCTTCTTCCTCCAAACACGACGAGTTGAGTTTATACCAAAAAGTGCTACTTTGGTTTCATCTGACCACATGACATTCTCCCAATCCTCTGCTGTATCATCCATGTGCTCTCTGGCAAACTTCAGACGGGCCTGGACATGCACTGGCTTCAGCAGCGGAACACGTCTGGCACTGCGGGATTTGATTCCCTGCCGTTGTAGTGTGTTACTGATGGTGACCTTTGTTACTTTGGTCCCAGCTCTCTGCAGGTCATTCACCAGGTCCCCCCGTGTGGTTCTGGGATCTTTGCTCACCGTTCTCATGATCATTTTGACCCCACGGGATGAGATCTTGCGTGGAGCCCCAGATCGAGGGAGATTATCAGTGGTCTTGTATGTCTTCCATTTTCTGATGATTGCTCCCACAGTTGATTTGTTCACACCAAGCTGCTTGCCTATTGTAGATTCACTCTTCCCAGTCTGGTGCAGGTCTACAATACTTTTCCTGGTGTCCTTCGAAAGCTCTTTGGTCTTGGCCATGGCGGAGTTTGGAGTCTGACTGTTTGAGGCTGTGGACAGGTGTCTTTTATACAGATGATGAGTTCAAACAGGTGCCATTCATACAGGTAACGAGTGGGGGACAGAAAAGCTTCTTACAGAAGACGTTACAGGTCTGTGAGAGCCAGAGATTTTCCTTGTTTGAGGTGACCAAATACTTATTTTCCACCCAGATTTAAGAATAAATTCTTTACAAATTCTACCATGTGGATTCATGGATTTTTTTTTCACATTCTGTCTCTCACAGTTGAAGTGTACCTCTGGTGCAAATTACTGACCTCTGTCATCATTTTAGGTGGGGGAACTTGCACAATCGGTGGCTGACTAAATACTTTTTTGCCCCACTATAGCTGTGGGCAATGAGGGGAAAAAATGAAAAGAACGATTGATAACTTTCCTGTCTAACACTAGTCCAGAGATAGCATCAGATAATTAGCCACATACGATCAACTGAGCCAGAGCCCGCTGATAGTAAAATGGGGAAAGTGTATACATTTCAAAGCTGGCAACATGATCCAGTGCATTTACTGTCGTGAGTGTGGAAAGACCATGGCTGGCAATACTGCATTTGGAGTTGACCATCTGAGGGGCATGTGACTGCAATGGAAGATGGTCCATAATATATCAAGCTGTTCAGTTTGAAGCCTTTGAGGCACTTAATGTAAAATTTCATTTAAAATATCTTGACGTTTTAAATTTCAGCTCAGTGCAGCACTTTAAGCACAACCACTTTCTCAGTAACTTATCTTTCTTGTAGAACTGTGTTCCAAATAAAGAACTTTTGTCAACACAAAGTTCTTTATTTGGAAACCACTTGTCCCATTTTGTGATAGAAGTATTAGCTTGTAACCTTAACAAAAGGTAAAAATTTTCAATTCCATGGATCTCCTCAACAACCTTTCCTTGTTTTCTATTTGCATTTCCAGAGTACTTGAGGTATGACGTACCTGAAGACTTGATTCCTCTAAGTAAACTTGCTTTACCTGGACTCGCCTGTTTCTCACAAGTACCTGATATGTGTGAGGATGACTTTGAAGAGCTGGCACCACTCCCAAACCCACCAGCTGTGACTTTGAAACATTCAGGTATCAACTTTTGGTCAGGGGCAAAGAACCCTATTTCAAGCACCTGGTTTATTCAAAGAACCACTGCAGTGGTTAATAATAATCATGCATATTGCTGCACTCTAACAAAGCAGCTTTGTAAGGTTTAGTTCACCTAAATGAGTCATTCTCCTAGCTTCCTTTATTTATTTTAGATAAGTCTGCTGGCTGCAGAGCAACTGATTTTGCAGGAAAAGATGAAACTGAAGGGGGGGGAGATTAAGCGCACAATACAGGTGTGAGAGAAGCATGGCACAATAGCGCATTAAACCCTGAATGTGTTAAGGACTTCTGGTCAGTAATCCCAGATTTGGTCTACTGCAGGAAATCTGTCATAACTTGCGACATAACCGGAAACGCCTTTCAACCATACACCGTAGCCTCCAACATAATTTGGTCATTGCAGGTTAGGTCAGCCTGAGGTGTAGTTGCATTTCTCGGGAGGTGTACATCAGGTTACGTAAAAGGCTATGATGTAAATGGCTTAAAAGGGGTTTGTGGTCAAATCATAAGTAACAACGTGGATTTCCTGCAGTAGTCTAAATCGGACAAGACTGAAATGACTGCTTTATTACAGCCAGGAAGGAAAGGTGAGAATAATAAATGCCAGTTAAGACAAACAGTATCACAGCTGTCTTTAAGGCATAGCAGAATTTAACAGACTGCAACTGTTATTAAATTAATGTTTAGATGTGCACGAGATGGCTTTTTAGTCTCTGTGGCAGCTCTGGTGTTGAACAGTCTGAAAAGATGAATGGAAGTAAGAAGTGAATTTGATTAAAATTAGGTGTCCTTTTCTTAGATCACTGTTTATAGAACAATGAAATGGTTTTTATTGGCCAAAGGGAAACCGGTAACTGAGGAATAATTTTAAATCCTAAGAACCTGTGACAAATGCAGATTCTTATCACAGGTCTAAGGTGTCTTCCAGGAATGGTGATGACTTTCCAGAGAATTTGCTACAGACTTAACCTGCTCTACAGCATAAGTTACCATGGTGACATAACACAGAAAACTCGGGAAGTTTGAAGTTGCCTGTATAAGCTCAAATCATGCCTTAGGGAACAGGGCTGGGCTCTGTGTAGTACAAGGGGCCCAACGAGGAAAGAAATGTGGCTGTACAGTTCATTTTCACTTCACGTAATGCTGGAGATGCATTGGTGGTTTTTACACTTGAATACATTTTGCCTCTTACCTGTGCAAAATTGATGACTTGAACCAAATACCAGCCTCTGACATAAACGCTACTGTCAGCAGGGCCAGTATTGCCCAACATAAAATTAGGGCAATGATATTAGTGCCTTCCTAAGCTATGATTCAGGAGCCTTTGGGAAATACGACTAATACATTTTCTTCAGTGTCACCCCTGGGCTCTCTTGTCCGTCACTCTAAAACAAACAGGGTTTTCCCAGAGCTTTCTTCCTGGAAAGCTGTTTAATTCCTATCAGCCCGAAATCATCTCATGTTGGTTCTGTCTTGCAGTATGGCGTACCCTGTGATGGCTGTTAACTGCAAGAGTAAAAACAAATTTAAATTCTGTTCCATCGTAGCAAATTAAATCTTCCCAACTCTGACAAGTGCACCTAGTATCAAGAAACCTCGCCTCAAAAACGGTTAAAACTACACACAAGCACAAAAGTGACAGCTGCCACTATAAACAGACTCTGGAATGAGACATTACAAACATGGCATTTATGTGGCCCTCAATTTGACCTCTACTTTCTCAACCTCTGCTCTAATGGATTAGATGTACAATTTAGGACTTTGGGATTTATAAATGGTATGCAGCCCTCAAATAAAACTACTTTTATCAAGCAACTGTAATTGTATCTTTGCATCTGAAGTGCAAGTTTGAATCTCCTGGTATAATTAACTACAGGTATCATTAACCTTCTGTATGATTAAATTCCCCGTATCTCTCTTCAGATTGCCGTGTGGAGCTGGATGCCTTTCTTCAGACGCTCGAGGAGCTAACAGTGGAGCTTCCTCCAGAACCTGATACTGATTAAAGTTGTGTTTTTTGTCTGCTTTTAATTGAAATAAAGTTGTTGTTTTTTGTTTTTTGTTTTTTAAATCGTGCATGGTGTGTTTTATGTGCTGGAGCTCCACTTTATAATTGGTGACTGGCCATGAAAGTATGCCGGATATTACTTCCTGCTTTTAAAGTCCATCAGTGGTCATGTGAGGGTTTCCCGCTAGTGGGAGATGAGTGGACTTTGTCTCGGTTCCTCTTGCAAGACTAAGAATAATCTGCGTCACGTAACTTTTTGGGGGATGAACGGTTAAAATTACTCGTGACGTGTTACGTGATTTTTAGATCACCTATTGGGTGGCACACCTGAAGAGTCGGTGTGTGCGGTTTGAGTGCAGAACAGGTGAGTGGCAGCCGTTTTAGACGGAAACTTAAGCGTAGGTTTGGCTTCTTAACATGGCAAAATGAGGAACTTCTGTGTTCGCCAATAATCGCGTTAGCTGAAATGTTTTTAAAGAGCTTTTTCCTCCCTTACACAGGGGACCGAGTCCAGTCAAGCGGAGGAAATGGTTTCATGTTTATAATTTGACATATCTTCGGGTGTTGTCTAAATAAAAAGGAAGTAGCCTTGAGCTCTGCAGAAGAATTCAGACATGCTTGGGCGCAGCTCGGATGAAGCTATGTCTGAACCAGCTGTCAGCAATACCGACGCCCACGGCGGCAGGGGGTCTAAAAAGGGCACCGTTGTGGAGCGAGTGTCCAGATACGGCATGCAGGTCATGCCCATGCCAGTGCCCGGGGGTTTCCAGCGTAGGACGAGGCTGCAGAGGCAGCAAGAAGTCTGTGACAGCGCCGCTCCGGAGAGGGAGTCTATCACACCCGCTATGCGTAAAAAGTACCTGAAGGAACTGCTTCTGGGGAACTCGTCCAACAGCGGGTTTAGCAGCGTGCTGTCCTCGCAGAATTACAGCCGCTCCGGCGAGGAGGACACGGATTGGGCTTTGTATCCGATGGAGCACGCGTGGATGCTCTCAGCGGTGGAGGGCAGCTATGAAATCATCATGGATTTTATCTCAGAGGACCCCCAGCTATTAACCAGGAAGGATTTCATCAGCGGCTACTCGGTCCTGCATTGGCTGGCCAAGAGGGGACAGGACGAGACTCTGATCAAACTTTTGCGCTACGCACAAAGCGAGGGCATCCCCGTGAACGTGAACCTGAAGGGCAGCGGTGGGCTCACGCCTCTGCACCTCGCCAGCATGCACAGTCAGTACATGGTCATCAAGCTGCTGGTCGGAGCTTTCAATGCCAACGTGGACGCAATGGACTACAACGGAAAGAGGCCCTGGCAGTATCTGAGGGAAAACGCCCCGCCGGAGATGAAGGAGCTGCTGGGGGCCTGGGATGAAGAGCACAGCTGGGGATGCACGCAAAACGTCAACAAGAACGGCAACAACAACTGCGCTGGCGCAGTGAACTTGACCGCATGTGAAGAGGACGATGCTGTGGAGGCAGAGGAAGTGAAGCACTTTGACCGGACTAAGAGGAGACGCGGCTGGAGGCTTCGGTCTCTAAAAAAGCTGCTGCCCTCCTTTCCTCCTTTGCTTGGAAGCAAAACATGAGTGGGGGATGACACATACTTTCCAATATGTGCATCATCACTCCACTATTTTTGTTAGTTTCAGAAGGGGTCGTGAAGACAGTGAAAGGCTAGTTTGTAGGCAGTGGTGACTATTCAAGCGGTAAAGATCAAGCTAAATGTTAAGGCAGCAAGAATGTGCAGTTTTTCAAGTATGCTTTCCAGAAACAAAATACCCATTTATATTGGTGGATGTGCTTCACTCATCCAAGACCAGCAGTGTTTACATGACTGATTTCTAAACAAATTTCAGTAAAATAGCCAAACTTTAAAGTGTTACTTTGTCTTTCATAAGCTGCTTTTAATGGACTTTTCCCGCTTCCTGCCCAGACTCATTTGCGCTACTTGTGTCAACTCCAATATTAGTAATTGGCTGTGTAGGAGCTTTCCCTGCAGTGTATGAGCTCTGAAATCATTTTTTCCTAGTTCATCCTGCTGCTTATTGAGGCTTCCTTTAATACCTCTGGTATTTATTCCAAAGACTACAAAGTCAGAAGTCAAATTCACACTAAACAGCAAGTGAACAGTTTTCCATGAAACTGTGATTCAGAAGTGTTAGCTGTGTGGTCAAACACAAACCCCCTTTCAGTCCAAGTGCTTCTTTTTGCCGAGCTGTGTCAGCATGGCAGCTTCTACATATTTGATTTTCCTGAGAAAAGTAAACACTTTGCGGGAGAGAAAAAGACGCCACTCAAGCATTTCACATTTGATCAATGATCTTTTATTGTCAAACATGAGTATAACCAGAGTATCTGTACAAAATGATTCCTGCTCCAGATAACATGGCTTGTCCCCTGCAGTCAGTCCATCAGCTGGAGTTCCTGGCGCATGTTGTGATGCTGGGATCCACAGAGCCTCATGTTTACAGGCCAAGCTTGGTTCTCCTCCAGTGTCTCCTCTTGGAGTTGTACCTAAAATGAAAGAACAAAAAATAAATCCGTCAGGAGGAAAACACTGAGATTCTGATGTTGGCAAACTATTAAACTGTCACGCTGTCAAACCCTGAGTGGAAAGAATTAAAACCTCTCTGTACAAAAACATAAAAGGCTAATATTATCTCTGTTGCTGATGGTTTTACTTGGTGTCAAACTGCAAATAAACTGAATTTTTTGGGGGAGCTTATTATAGCAGGAAAAACAAACACCAGTGTAGCTAATAAATGTGATTTTAGTACAACCTGCCACCGTGGAACACTTAATGGATTACTAAATGCACCTAACCATGTGCTCTTCCTAATAAATGTATACCTTTAAAGAGATTTATTTTGGTAAGTTAATTTATGTGTGTGCAAAATGGGGGTATGCAAGTTTTCACAAAAGTCAAACTCACAGGCAGACAGTATAAAACGTGGAAAAATGCTTCAGGTACTGAAAAGTGAAGCTAAGTACCTTAAACCTGCAATCCTTTAAATGACCACAAGGGGAGTACTTTTCTGCTCACAAGAAGACTAAAGGTCTTTTTCAAACTCGAGACAAACGTCTGTGACCTCAGTAAAGCCTTGCAAGATTACGTTTTGGGCTCAACAACCAGTTTCAGATCATATTAAAAGTTCATTATTTGTGGTCTTCTTCTTTTTTTTTTAAGTCAAAGGAGGATCATCCAATGTTCATTGAGCAAGGATTAGTCCATCACAAATCATTGGGTAATGAGAACAGTCTCCCATGGTGTCAGATCTCTTGCATCACATGAGCTTTCACAACACTAAGATGGTTTTACAACAATTTAAGTGGTCAAAACCATGTAAATAGTAGCTTTAACAGTCTCTATTGAGTGGTGAGAGCTTCCTTAATAATGCTCCACACCAAGGAAATATTCAAATGAATCGTTGGTTCACGGGTTCAGAGTATGCAAAGTTGTTTGATGTGCGTCTAGTTTCAGATTCTCCAGCACAGCATGTACATTGTGTATTCTTCAGTGTGATAAATATTATAAATCAATACAAAGCCCTATAGTGATTTAGTGAATTTAAATTCCCCTTTGAAGAGATAATTAGAAATAATGTCACTTTTTACAGGCACTAAATCACTGCAGTATTCATGGCAATCATGGCATCCACAGAGTTTATACAAGATGACGGAGCCAAAGAACAGCAGATCGGTCATTAGTGTTCGGCTACAGAGTTTCCTCATCACCGGCACAGCAAGTGAGAGAACAAGCTCTGCAGCAGAAACATGCTCTCAGCAGGGTTAATGACAGCACTCCACTGTAACTAAGTGCTGCAATTGCAGACCTGCTTTACATGAGATGATGTTCCTCCCTGCAATTACACTCAGGTGCGTCAGCACTTCCTGATAACACGTGCAGCTCAGCAATGAAACTGAATGTTGACAGCCCATTTAAACAGACACTCAGCTTCACTAAGATTTGAGCCATCTGTGAACCACCTAATCGCAACGCTGACATCACAAAAACCTGAAATTATGGAGTTCTTTTCAAATTAATCTATCCTCCCTGCAGTACTCTTAACAACCCGCACGGTGGAATTACTGATTTCCACCTTTAAGGAAATTTCATGAGCACAAATATTTTCGACACCAAATTTACAAGTTAAATTCAAAACCACTGCAACAAGGGGAAAAGAGGCTTAAAGGCATCTCCGATGATATACACTGTGCTAGAAATATTAGGAATACAGTAGAGCTGTGCGATATGACCAAAATCTCATATCCCAATATAAGAATTATACTGTCCCGATAACGATATAAATCACGAAAATTTAACATTTTCTGTAAATTCTGTGCATCTCGGGCAGCTCGACTTCCGTGAAGTGTTTCCAGCTGCGCGTCATGTAGCTGGAGTCGAGTGTTTTAACTGATGCATGAAACGATACATTTTTAGACATAAGTTGTAACGGCCGCCGTTTGCTTTGTGAGTATTTATTACACGGCGTGCTGCGGGGAGAAGCCTGTTCTAACGTTTGAGTCTAAGGTTTATTTTTTAGCACCTGACGGCTCTTTTTTTGCTTCTCATCTGTAAATACTCTGCATACTCTTTTACGTGATTCGGTTTATTTTGAAAAGTCTCAACAGGATCTTGAGCTTTATTGTGAAAAGGTTTATGTGGAAAATAAACAAGCGGACACGCGATGGTTTTACCGTCGTTGTTGATAATGACAACGCATAAAAACAGGCGCTTGTCTGTCCGTAGTGTGGTTATATTAAATATAAGAGAAAGAGAGAACTTTAACAAATGAATATAGCCACTACAGTGACCATCAAAACCATGAAAAAATATTGTTGTAAACAGTTTATTTTGCGACACCACGAAACAAACGATAGCATAAAATGAAACGATAGACGTTTTTACATCGTCATCCGATATATATTGTTATATCGAACAGCCCTAGAATACAGTGTGATATCAAAGTTCACCAACAACATCAGCTACATCACTTACTGCTGCACCAGCTACAGCAGCCTCAACGGGGTC